CAAAGGGAGTCATTAAAATGTTACGAGGAGTCATTTACCAAAGGGAGTTATTGAAATGTTACGAGGAGTCATTTGCCAAAAGGAGTTATTGGAATGTTACGAGTAGTCATTAACCAAAGGGAGTTATTGAAATGTTACGAGGAGTCATTTACCAAAGGGGGTCATTGAAATGTTACGAGTAGTCATTTACCAAAGGGAGTCATTAAAATGTTACGAGGAGTCATTTACCAAAGGGAGTTATTGAAATGTTACGAGTAGTCATTTACCAAAGGGAGTCATTGAAGTGTTACGAGTAGTCGTTTACCAAAGGGAGTTATTAAAATGTTACGAGGAATCATTTACCAAAGGGAGTCAATGAAATGTTACGAGAAGTCATTTACCAAAGGGAGTCATTAAAATGTTACGAGGAGTCATTTACCAAAGGGAGTTATTGAAATGTTACGAGGAGTCATTTGCCAAAAGGAGTTATTGGAATGTTACGAGTAGTCATTAACCAAAGGGAGTTATTGAAATGTTACGAGGAGTCATTTACCAAAGGGGGTCATTGAAATGTTACGAGTAGTCATTTACCAAAGGGGGTCATTAAATTGTTACGAGGAGTCATTTACCAAAGGGAGTTATTGGAATGTTACGAGTAGTCATTTACCAAAGGAAGTAATTAAAATGTTACAGGAAGTCATTTACCAAAGGGAGTTATTGAAATGTTACGACGAGTCGTTTACCAAAAGGAGTTATTAAAATGTTACGAGGAATCATTTACCAAAGGGAGTCAATGAAATGTTACGAGAAGTCATTTACCAAAGGGAGTCATTAAAATGTTACGAGGAGTCATTTGCCAAAAGGAGTTATTGGAATGTTACGAGTAGTCATTAACCAAAGGGAGTTATTGAAATGTTACGAGGAGTCATTTACCAAAGGGGGTCATTGAAATGTTACGAGTAGTCATTTACCAAAGGGAGTCATTAAAATGTTACGAGGAGTCATTTACCAAAGGGAGTTATTGGAATGTTACGAGTAGTCATTTACCAAAGGGAGTTATCGAAATGTTACGAGGAGTCATTTACCAAAGGGAGTCATTGAAATGTTACGAGTAGTCATTTACCAAAGGGAGTCATTAAAATGTTACGAGGAGTCATTCACCAACGGGAGTTATTGAAATGTTACGAGGAGTCATTTACCAAAGGGAGTTATTGGAATGTTACGAGTAGTCATTTACCAAAGGGAGTTGTTGAAGTGTTACGAGTAGTCATTTATCAAAGGGAGTTGTTGAAATGTTACGAGGAGTCAATTACTAAAGGGAGTTATTGAAATGTTACGAGGAATCATTTACCAAAGGGAGTTATTAAAATGTTACGAGGAGTCATTTACCAAAGGGAGTTATTGAAATGTTACGAGGAGTCATTTACTAAAGGGAGTTATTGAAATGTTACGAGGAGTCATTTACCAAAGGGAGTCATTGTAATGTTACGAGGAGTCATTTACCAATGGGAGGCAGCTTGTGATATGTAAAAAAAAGAGATATTGCCAAATTCTAACAACCTTACAGTCCACCACACTATACAAATGCATACGATTTCATAAAGACAGAATAAACTTCTTCTATATAGTGTTTTATTACAAGATACTATTACATAGAAAACATATAACACACAATCATACAACAGTATATAAGTTACCAATAAACAAAGAAATAAAACACACCAAATATCCATGCTTGCAAATCGTAGCGGAAAAGCATGAATCATTAACAATAGTTCTCTGTGTTAGACAACCATGTGACAGTTCTCGTAAGATAATATGGGTTAGGTCACACTGAAACATGCAATTTTAAGCGGAACAAGATTATGTTGAACCAGTTCCAGTTTTGTAGTGGACGTATTGATTGTGTGTGTGTCCTGTATACACCCATGTTATATGTTCGTAAATTACAGAAAATGTAATACGCATTGATGAAACAAAACAAAATATGCTACTTAATAGTGTTGATCTCTGCTAAAGAAATTTATTCAACCTTAAAAAACGGGTTATACTATCACCCACACATATCAAGCCTCCAGTGCCCAATGATGTGTCAACTCAAAAATTCTTCAGCCAAAATAAGTGCAGCTCAGATGTTTTTCAAGGAATGGCCAGTAACATCCGTATGGGTTTTAGTAGATGAAATTTTAATTAAGCTAATTAGCTCTTAATTATTTCCTAATTTGACCGCACTCCAAATAACAGGTCAGTCAATGACCTATTAAATATGTTGAGGTCACAGACTGACATGTATATTTATTGATGTAGTGCGAACTGTTTCAATTTATCTTGTTCTTTTAACGAAATATTATCGTATCTGATTTTTTTTTCCATTCTTATATTGATTTATTCCGACATACATTTTGTTAACTCCCAGTTTTCAGAATGAAATTATGATGGACATATTTTTATTACGCCGGTATATTCAAAGCTGAGGGGTCGTCACCTGCGCATGTGCGGGAATCTCAAGTCTCAAGCGACGATAACAACGAACGCATTTTACGTTTTTACAGGAAATATAAAGGAAAGTTCTATTTACAGTAAAAAATTGTTTTGTTTTTTTACAATTCACAGATAAAGCAAATTCCTGATTACATTTTTAGAATATACTTGATAATTCGTGTTTTAGAATGAAAATTGGAAATTGTGTACGAACTACGACATTTAATGTTGAAGATGCATTATACGCTTACAAAAAATAAGACCTTTGTACAAATTACGAACGAATAAAAGATCTGGTTACATTTTACACCTTGCCCATGTCTACGAAATTACATTTTTTATTTATTTAAATTTCATTATTACGAAAATAAAAACAATTGATTAGAGCTTACGAAAATACTCATTGCTGAACCTCAATGTAGACATTTTCACACACCACATAATGAAATAGACAATTACGTATGCCGCATTGACCACAACATATAACACATTTTACTAATTTTAATAATAAGTGAAATATAACAACACTGCCATTATTATTTAATGGGATACAATATAATCTATTAAGTTGCAAGCTCTGGCACAAAATGGCCTTTAATCGTATATCACCTACGTTTACGATTACTCCTTTCCAACTTGAAACGTCATGGATCGGCGTATATATATATATTAATTAATTAATATCATTAGAGCAATTAAAATGTAAATCGCCATGAACGAATACGAAGCTTGTTTCTTACTTGTAAGGAAAGAACTCATTTGTAACAACTCTTGCCTCGGTAATGTCATTGCGATTTGCCGTTTTACCAGTTTGAGTTATATCTCATGAGAGCCCTAGCGATTATTACGGCTCATGTAATATTGGGGGACCGGCCGAAACATTCATTTTATAAATAAGTTACTGTTAACGTCTTTATTTGAGGCCAAACCTGGCATGTCCATTCAAATCAGAATTTAGGGTACTCTCACGTTAGCCTGCACGCGTTGATTTTTAGGATGATGTTGAGGCATTTTGGGCTTTTCTCCTTATGTTTGATTTTATTTATAATAATATATTTTTTCTGTGTTTCTAAACATGAAATATTCCCTACCCGAGTTTCTTATGGACAAATTAGTAACGCTTTTCAGGTCAGAATTGATCCCTTCAAATTTCACGTCTGTGGTTGAAATTATTGTTATAACGTTAAATCTAAAACATCATTACCTCTTTCAATTATTTTGTTGACTACGAACAATAAAATGGTTATAATTGTTGCACTAGCATATACGTCAGTGGATGCCTTAACTGCTGAGTCATTCTCTTCGTGCATTTCGCATTAGATATTTATGTAAACAAATTAACACGTGATGTCCACGTCACATGCGCAGTGTGCATTCAATACATTTCCGTTAAAATGTGTCTTTAGTTTCCGTCTGAAGTCATCTTTCCCCCGAAGATTCACTTTCCCGTCGATGACCCGCGGTACCAAGCCGTCCAGGTGCGTCAACTATACTTACACGACCGCGGTCGGCGACACTCAAACGACCGTGACTAACCGATGTATCTGTAACACTCAATCTGCTGGCAGCTGTTCTAGAACGCCCTCCCAGATACACGCATAAGTCAGATCTACCAGACTTCTCTAACGCACGGCAAAGTTTCGCGATTTTATCCGCTGAACGTCTCTCGCTGTTTCTCCACGATATTAACATATCAAACGCTTGACTTTCTGTATCCAACTGATTATCGCACTTGACTCTTTGAATCTTCGGTTGGTCGAACCCTATGTGGGGTGCAAGTAACTCGTAGTCTTCGCCGAGTTCTCTGGCCAGAGTCTTTAAACTTTCTTCACTTAGTGGGCCTGTAAGACAAACACAAAACTGTTATTTTTTATGCATTGCGTAGTTCAAATTTTATATACAATGAAAATATATAATTCGCTTATTAATAAATTCACTTATACATTATTATTGTAGCACTGTGTTAATTTTATAACTGTGCGTGATAACCATGTACATACCGGTCAACTTCACCGCCGTCTTACATGATGTCTTCGGTCTCGGTGGTGGAGGCTCTGCCTGATTGGAAGTAACAAAATGACGTGTTATGATTGAAACAACTAGACATAATTAATACATATTTAATAGATGATATTCACTTCCAGCTTCCCTACAAAACTCTTGATAAGCTTACCTTAGGCAGAGTAATGGTCATTTTTTCAACAAATCGAAGAGATTCGTTGATTTCAACCTGGTCCTCATTTTGATTTAGTTGCTCTTTTTCACAAACATACACTTGAGCCGTGCCGATGTGACAGTCCGACGCAAAATTACGATACAAATTTAACTCTTTTATTAGAAACTGTACTCGATTGGTCCGTCCTTTATAGAAAGTCAGCCTGGTTTCCTCTCCGTCAGCTCTGCAAATATTTCCGGTGAATTTAACGACTATTTCCTGTTCTTCTCGTAGTTCTATATCGCTACTTGGATCAGGTGGACCCACATAACCGTCTTTAATCATTCTATCTTCGACCAAGTCACATTGTTCATGCAATACTATCTGCAACAGCATCCGATCTCTCTCGTCATCATGTTGATGTAGTATGACATTCACAAGTGAGGTCCGTGTCCAGTTCTCCAGTGCTGTTGCCATACCTGTTCTACTGGTGCGACTGTTTGGTGGAGACATAAGCAGTAACAATCTGGAACATGATTGAACGGTGGTAAATTTAATCTGAGATATTTTTCTGAAAAATAGAATGCCTGAAATATCAATTAATGTTACACTGTTGATATTTATCAAATATATATATATATATAACTCACGCATCAGGAATATTTTCTAACTGAAATTCCACCACATCGTTTTTCAGTATTGTCATGTTAATATCATCTGATGCAAATTCTTTCCATTCTTCTTGGTTGGCGCATCTTGCTAATACATGAGGAACACATTCCGCAGTTGCATCCTTTTGTTGCATTCGTTTCCCCTGCTGCGTAGATGGCCTTGAAGAAGACCCTTTTGATTTCTCGTCCAATTTCTGCGAGGAGTTCAGGAGTGGAATTCTCAATGTCATGGGCTTGACAAGCTGAGGACGAGCGGAACAAGATACAAAAACAATGGGACTACAAGTGTCTAAGCCGTATATGCAGGACGGATGGCGCTCTCGTAGCTGTGAAATTGAAGCTGCATCTATTAGATTCAACTAGAAAATAAATATAGCATATTAAATATACCATTATATATCAACACAGACCAGTCATGTTTACATATTCTACAGTTGAACATATTAATCTTGGCCTCAACTAGGCCAAACAAAATAATTACATGTATTATAGGCATTAATCTGTTAATAATTGAAAAGTAATAAGGGTTCACATTAAGTAATATAATTACTGACTTTACACCTACCTCTAAAGACACATCAATTGGTGTACGTAATGATTGTGGAGGGAAGTTAATACTGACTCTGCGTTCAATTGATGATGTCAAGTTGCCACCTTGCCGCTCTATTCTAGCATTTTCTCGCACCAATCGAGACAACACAAAGAATGTAGAGAATCTATTGACACGAACTTCAGCAAATGTTTTCCCCTAAAAATTAAACATGCACCATTAACATACTATTTCAAAACCATGCCAACAAGGCATCTACACAATTATAATTATATTGGAACAGGCCAAACACCCAGGTAGTCATCAATCAGAATAGGTACTGATTAATCACGAATCAAATAAATAAATAAATAAATAAAATAAGGCTTTTATTTTTTTAGATTTTGCTTGGGAAAATGTTTTACAAAGTGAATCAACAGCACATATTTAATTTAAACCTTCACTAAATATTAAATTCAGTGGGGAATTTGTTGCAACTGTTGCAGTTTATCTAACCTTTGCTGTTATCAGTATACACAACGTTTAACACGGAATAAGCGGATGTTTATAAGCCTTTGACCAAAAATTATCTTCCTTAACACGTATAAGTTCGTGTATATACTATATATAGCATGAAATACCTTGAATTCATCAAATGACCTATCAGTTGAGTTTGTTGGAGTCAACTTCCACGTCTTTCCATTCACTGTAGTTTTAACAACAATTTCTCTGTCTCTACCCCGCAAAGAAGTATCAAATGGAATAGCTACTAAGGCAAATTTCGACAGATTCACATTTTGTGGTTCTATTTTCACTACATGGCTGAATGGTTGGTCATGGACACCTACAGCATTTCTCATTAGATTACTGGCCTCACTACATGTTATGTGAATGTCATCCAATACACCAGGAGGCGTTCTAATAACACATAGAAGTTGGTCTTCTGTTTCTTCATTGTTGATGTAAAACCTGAAAAAGTGGATCGAATTGGTCACATTGCAATAAAACCATTTAGCTGTGCATGAAATAAAAACTAACATGTAATAGAATTACATCTATTAGGATAATAATGATAATGATAATAATAATAATAAT